TAAACTGTATTTAAAAAAGACTAAATTTGTGTAATAAGTTTGGTGAATGTCTCATGAAAGTTTTAGATTGCTACAGCCAATTATTCCTCATGACTACAAAAATAGTTCAATTGTAGTAGTAATGAGCTTAGTTTTTTATCAAAGCCATTTTAAGGAAAGCATATTGGTTGTGAGCTTTATGTTTAGCAGTATGTTCTCCAGCTTGTTATGGTATCGTTTGGGTCATTTCTATCAGATTTGATCAGCCAATTCAAATTAACATAAAGCTCAAGCACCATATGTGATCTTTTTGTATGAAAAAAAAATTGTTGAAATATTCTACAGCAAATGTCAGTTTGGTTTCTGCTTCTCACAATGATGACTATGTTTGCGAATGGATCAGTGGAGGTTATAGGCACCGTGGGCAAACCACCCCAGACCCAAGCCTATAAATAAATGCGAGGTTACATACAGTATAGTTAATATAAGAAGGACTATTAAACTTGTACATTCTAAAAAATGTTTTAAAAGTTTGTTGTTTTAGGGTAAAATATGGACAAAACCAGAATTGGGATAAAAAATTTTTTTTAGATTTATTATAAATAAAGGTGTTATTATTGTTATAATGATGGGCCATTTATATGGATACACCTTAATGAAGTTTTTGGGAATTTCACAAGAAAAGCAATGCTATCCTTGGTTTTAAATGTAACTTTATTTTTTTCATGAGTTATTTACAAGCCCCCTCACATATACTTATGTGCCACAAACAGGACGTTATTATCACCAACCATTCCCATTTTATTAAGGTGTAGGCTATCCATATAAATGGCCCACCCTGTACAATAATTAGGCCTATTTTCAATAATAAATCAATTCTAATGTAACTGGAAGATGTAAAGACAAAACTCGAGTGATATGCTAAGATCATTTAAGAAATATTTAAATGAATATGTATGAATATTAATTATGAAAATTCTATATAAAAACATGTTTTATAGAACTATCTGTTGTCCTAGACCCGACTCATGCCGAGAATTAATGTTAATAAGTATTACCATCCCCTGACTCATTATCCCTACTTTTTGCTTCATAGCGCTTAGTCAAAATAAAATAATCGTCATTTTATAGAAACTTAAGTATTATCGATTTGCAAAACGCTCTGCGTACCTGCACCTCGGCATAAAAGGCTGTGGTTACTCCTCTGGTGTCACACCGGATCGAACTAGCTGAATAGGCTACGTAGGCTACATGAATCCCAAACGGACATTTTACCCATGATCACAAGAGGGCAGCACATGACCAGTCAAACAAAAAGACTACCTGCTGTTCGAAATGTTGGTTAACTAATATTTATATTTGACTTTTGAAGTGTTTACCTAAAACAGACGAGTGGGTAATCAAGATATTGGTGTCCTATCAAGTACAAAAAAACATAGAATTCGAGAGATTATTGTATAGGCTAGCTTGAGAACATATACTGACGGAAATTATTACAATTATTAAAATAAGACAACACAGTTTACCGTCTGAAAGATGACGTGTAGTTGTTATTCACTGTGATATTACAAAACCTTTAAGTTATTTCGCCGAATTAGCAAAGGTGGTCGATTTAAAAGCGATTGTAAAATAACCCTTTTCCCCCCGAACAGCTGACTAGCAGTTGATTAGTCTGTGGAGGTGTGAATCTCACCATTTGAAGGGAGGACTGGTTTTGAACTGGCGCCTCTGTGAAATTACCAACAATTAGGATAATTGCTGTCAATCCGGTAATTTCTGTAGGTCTCTGAATGCGTCCCCTGAAGCGGAATGGCTTGTCTTTAGCCTTTGACACTGAATCGATGGCCGTCTATCAGATGTGAGCGTCTCCCAGTCTGTCTCTCATCATCAAACACTTCCCTATCTCCTGTGCCACTGCCGTCCTGCACTAACTACCTCCAGCTATAATAAAACCCCAAATTACACACACACACACACAATTAGGACACTCTTATTAGCGTTCAATATTTAAATGTTTAATCAGAACAAAACTTGTTAATATAGCCTCATACCTATTAAACTTGCCTTAACAAATTATTAATGAAATAAAATCACTTTCAAGAATTTGAAAGTAACAATTCACAAAGTTTGGCCAAATTAAAGTAATGGTCTTGACTGATGTTTAGAACAAGAATCATTTGCTTGCAATAAAACTCATTTTAAATATTGATTTGTCTTTTAAAACAAAGTTGAAAGTAGTGTAATAAAAGAAAGGGATAGTTCACCCAAAAATAAAGATGTAGCCTACTCACTATTGAATGAAATGAACAAATGACCCCCCCCCCCCCCCCTTTTTTTTTTTTTTTTTAAAGAAAGCTGAAAGTCTGAAACCATTGATTTCCATTATAGGAAAAACAAAGAGGCTACCGTGGAAGTCAATGGTTACAGGTTTCCAGCTTTCTTCAGAACATCTTCTTTTGTGTTCCACAGAGGAAAGAAACTCAAACAGGTTTCTGACAAGTGAAGGGTGAGTAAACAATGGCAGAATTTTTGATGTCAGAGTTTTGAGTGAATTATCCCTCAGTTGTTGTATTTAAAAACGGTAAAATAAAGACAAATAGCCCATATTTGGAAGAAAAATGGATGGTAAATTTCTCAAAATGTGGAAAAAACTGTCATTTAAAAATGGTGACATAATTTAATTGCCTTATTTCCAAGTTGATATTTTATCAAATAAAAATCTTGAAATGTAGACGAACTAAAGTTAAATATTTATTAAGTATATATCACGCATGATTTATTATGTTTACGCATTAATGTATGCCTAAGAAAATTGTTTAAGATAAGAGTTGAAAGTGACAGAATACCGCTAATAAAGATAGGTCTACATGTGAGGACTATTTTTTTATTCCTATCTGCTATTCTGTATGTATTCTGTGTAGCTTAAACAATTAATAAATATAATAAAATAATTTACCATATAACTCTAAAAATGATGGGTTTAATCTTTTTGGGTAAATATGATTTGGGTACGATATGATCAAGATTAGGATAAAATATGGACAAACCTGATCACCTATTATAGTAACTTATTATATTCAAATTTTAGCCCATGCAATGTATACCCAATAACTGAGTGGTTGTGACTTCCATAATAGGAAAAACAGAGGCGCTACCATTGAAGTCAATAGTTACAGGTGTCCAGCTTTCTCCAAAATATATTCTTTTGTGTACCACAGAGGAAAGAAACTCAGACAGGTTTCTGACAAGTGAAGGGTGATTAAACATTGACAGAATTTTCAGTTTTGAGTGAATTATCTCTCTGTTGTTGCATTTTAAAGGGGTAAAATAAAGACAAATGACCTATATTTGGGGCAAAAATGGATGGTGAATTGCACAAAATGTCTGTCAACTAAAAATTGGTGACATCATTTTTTAATTGCCTTTTTTTCCCAAGCTGATATTTTATTAAATGAAAATCTTAAAATGCAGGTAAACTAAAGTTTAAATATTCATAGAGTGTATAATATGCATGATTCAATATATTTACTATGCATTAATGTATGCCTATACAAAAATATTGTGTAAGATAAGAGTTGAAAATGACAGAATGGAGCTAATAAAAGTCAGCCTACATGTGAGGACTTTGTTGACATATTTTTGTCTTCCATTCGACTATTCTGTATGTATTTTGTTTAGCCTAAATAAATATTAAACATATAAATAATAAAATAAATTACCATATCACTCTGAAAGGTTTTGTCTATTTGGGTAAACTATGATCAAGATGTGTTATTCTTTATGTATTCTGTAGCCTAACTTAAATAAAAAATAAATAAAATTAAAGAACAAAATGATTAACCATATGACTATAAAAGGTTTTGTCTGTTTGGGTAAAATATGGTCAAGATTTGTTACTCTATGTATCCTGTAGCCTAAATTAATACAAAAAATTAAAGAACAAAATAAATTAACATCACTCTAAAATGTTGTTCTATTGGATAAATATGGTTTGTGTAAAATATGTTCAAGATTTGGGTAAAATATGGGCAAACACAACTGCCGAGTATGGCTAGCTATTAAATTACAATTTTAGCCTAATATTAATTCAATAATTGAGTTGTTGTGTATTTACCACTATGCTGAAACATGCATTTTTTTGAGTGAAAAGAGAATTTTGAACCAATATGCCCAGTTTGACATTGAATTATAATAATTATAAAAATGTATAGTAAATATTAATATAAATGATCAAATAACGCCTCGCATGTTCGACGGGTGTGTCTAATTAGGCTATTTTCAAGAATAGGCTACCTTTCTGCACACTTCAGAGCGTTTATTTGTTTATTTACGGTTCTAGTTTGCCCAAAAATGCCTTCAATTGTGAAGCACATGCCCTGACCAAAGTGCTCAACACATTAGGGCGGGCAGGGCAGTTGAGATATCGATCGTTGTGCTCTGTGTGTTTTGCATGGGATTGTCTGGGGGGTAATTGAGTGTCACTGTCTGTCTGTGTCGTCTCGCTGGCGCCATGTGCCTCTTTGGATTGCTAATTTCTCCAACCGACCCGCCTACATCTACTCTCTAGTGCAGGCCTGCAGTTTCCACCTCCATCAGCCTGTCATATGGCTGACAAAGCAGAATTTGGACTTTAAAGTGTGTTTCTAAAAATAAAAATAAAAACAGATACAACTATGTTGGTATTACATCCAGGGACAAATATTTAGATCCCATATATTTTCGATTGACCTTTAAATCATTATAGTACAATATTACGAACATATTTTCGAAAGCTTTCATTTTAATAACCATTATGCTGTTATTATTTTACCACGTCCTGCTACCTGCCTCATCATGCGATTCTGTCTCAGCATCTGTAGGCGGAAAGACAAATTGTATGACCGCTCTGTGAACCAATACCAATGCCAATAGGACAGTGTATGCAAATTTATCAGTACGACTGGCCAATCAACGCATTAATGGGCAGGGCTTTACAGAGCCAAAAACTGATCCGGTGAAATTTCTCCGATCAGTGATCCGCTGCTTCGCGATCGGGGATAGTTGCCCTTGTGGAAACTTGTTTGTGTTATTTCACGAGTCCGTTTGCGTTTTATATGTGTTTGTGTGTTTTTCATCGCATGGCGGATTGGTTTGGTTACACACGGGGAATGTTTCTCCACTCGCGCTAGTTTCGGATCCTCCGATGGAACAAGACGCGAGCCTTTTCTGCGCCCGTTTGATTTTTGGATACAGTGTAGATCACAGATCCCTGGGAATGCAGTAATAAATGTAGGACATATGTAACGAGTCCTCTCAAACCATTCGGAGGGTCTTGCCACGGGGTATCAAGACAAGGAAAAGCAGCCGTAAATGGATCGCCTGGTTTCTCTGTGGTTTCAGCTGGAACTTTGTGCGATGGCTGTTCTTCTCACGAAAGGTAACTTTTGAGTTTATTCAGTCGCTTCTGGACGCGCACGACTCTCGACTGACTTTAAACCATATAAAACTGTAGCGCTCAAACACAAAGTATGTTTATATGTGTACACAACCAGTCAAAAGTTTGGAAACAGTATTTTTCTCATGTTTTTGAAGAAAGGCTTTTCTGATAACTAATGTTGAGTTTATTGGATCATAAATACTATAAAATCTGTAATATTTAATAGTATTTCGATGTGAAAGAACTGATTTTCTGTAGGAATGTGTTATAAAATATAATGTACTCCCGTGATGAATTATGAGCAGCCATTACTACAGTTCTGTGTCACATGATCCTGCAGAAATCATTGTAATATGCTGATTTGTATTGCTCAAGATGATTTTCTGATTATTATCAGTGTTGAAAATAGTTGTGCTGCTTCGTTTTTTTGATATTGCCATTTAAACTATAATTTAAAGAGTTTTTATTCAAATATGATACATTAAATTGCTTAAAATTGACACCTAATATATTTAAGGTACAAAAGATATATCGTTTAAGAAGTTAATTTTAAGTTTTCAGCTTTTTATTGATCAAAAAATGATCATGAGCGCCAATAGTTAATCATAATTTTAGCATTTTAGAATTTCTACACTGAATTTTGACACTGAAGACTGGAGTAATGATGCTGGAAGTTCTGAATAAATTAAAATGTAATATATATATATATATATATATATATATATAACATTTTAATTTATTCAGAACTTCCAGCATATATATATATATATATATATATATATATATATATATATATATATATATATATATATATATATATACACTTATACTTACACAGAAAACATCTTAAATTCAATATATTTTTTCACAACAATACTATAAACAAAGCCTTGGTGAGTCAAAGAGACTTCGTTCAAAAACATGAACAAATCTTAATGTTTTCAGCTTTGTAATTGATAGTTTACACATCTTAACACTTGTTTATCGGCTTCTGCCCTTACAAAATAACATGTTCATTTTAATATTGGTGATTTCAGTTTGTTTCATATGTTAAAAAACTACGGTTAATTGCAGCGAATATGTATTGCATTTTGTTTTGTTGCCTATTTTCAGATATAAAGTGTATTTACTATAGCATGTAATATTTAATTTCAGAAGTAAAACAAGGTCTTGGGACAATTTTAAATGTGTTTCTAGCTGCTGAATGCTGGCTTAGGAGCTAACATGTTTCAGAGACCATCTTGAGCTATTTAGTTCCTGGTCTAAGGTAGATACATAAAGCCATCTTTAGACCAGCTACCTCCAGCTCCAGTTATAAGTATTCTACACATCTTGTTTTGTCATTTTCTAGCCTCTTGTTAAAAATTGATCAGCCAAGAACATTAGCCTCCGGTTTTATGCATTATTAGATAAGCCCAGCCATAAAAAATAAATAAGAAACTCATTGGACCTAACTGATAAGAAGAACTGATTTCTCACACTAATGAGATGACATGTAACTCCAGCCTCGGACAGTGTACACAAGCAACCTACGACAACACAAAGGCCGTGTTTATTTGTGTTTGTGTCATGATGTGTGTTTAGTGTTCTGTTTCACGTTCACACATGGTGGTAGGTAAAAAAGGTCCGCTTACAAAAACGGTACTGAATGTTAAAACAATCTGTGACCTTATTAGTTGTTATAACAATATTTGACCTCAATTTTGAGAAAACCTTAAGAAGATTGTTGCTTAAAAGGATGTTAAGCTAAATGGCTAAATTTCATTCATGGTTCACTTTTATTATTAAATTCAAGGAATATAGAAAAATGTCAGCTATACAAGCTATGAATAGACACTTGTGGACAAAGCTAAGAACATGTTTTTGGGTGAACTGCCCCTTTAAAAGTTACTCTCTGACTTAATGCCAGGTTTGACCACAAGTGAGTTTGCGTGCTAACTGAAAAAGGAGTCCTGCTCTCACCCCCCTTTATGAGTTTCCATTTGGGTTGAAAGAAATTGACTTTGGCAAACAAACCACTAATTATAAGTTACACGGTTCCTGTTTTATAAGACAGGCTAAAAGGATCCTTTGCATGAAAAGCCGTGACACAGTTACAGTGTTAAACTGAAAGGCCACATATTAGCGTTCTGACACAAACCCTTAGTCACAATGTTGTATTAGTCCTGTCTCTTTTGGCCTTTTTCTGGCATTAGGTCTGACTAGTTGCTTTGTTTTTCTCTCTTACATCCTCTTTGGATGAGATGAAGAATGCCTTCCTGGTCATAAAGTTAACCAGTTACTCAAAACCTTGGTGATGTTAGAAATACTACAGTTTAATTCTCTAATAACACGCTCCATTTCTGTTGGAAGGGATGTGATGGGAATCTCAGCGTTCCCACACTGTTTGACTTGATTCTAGCCTGAAAATGTTAACACAATTAGTGTCAAGAATCCTTGGAAAGTTTTGTTTCCTGGAAGCACATCAGAGACAGTTGTATTATGGTTTAATATATCAAATTCGGTACATTTATTTTCTGTTTAACTAACACAGCTTTTCTGTTTTGCAGGAGAGATCAGGTGCTACTGTGACGCACCGCACTGCGTTGCCACCGGATACATGTGTAAATCAGAGCTCAACGCTTGCTTTACTAAGGTCCTGGACCCTCTTAACACAAACTCACCTTTAACACACGGCTGCGTGGATTCGCTTTTAAACTCTGCAGACGTGTGCTCTAGTAAAAATGTGGACATTTCAAGTGGAAGCTCCTCTCCTGTGGAGTGCTGCCATGATGATATGTGTAACTACAGGGGTTTGCATGACCTCACACACCCCAGAGGGGACTCAACAGGTAAGATGCTCAAATATGACTAAACTAAAGGCTAGATAAGTCTACTGTGTGATATTTTAGCTTTTTGTGTCACGATTTAAAGAGATGAATCCAAAAATGTCATCTTGTTTTGATATATACAACAAAAGTGTGTTTTTGTAGGAAAAACATTCTTCAAAATGCATTCTTGTTTAATAGCATAAAGATTTGTGGGAACAAAATAATCATAAAAACTGTTATTTTTATCAAAACCGTAACCTCCCAGCAAACAATTTTGTTTAATAGAGGTCTAAAAGACATCTAAACGTAGACAGCTTTGCAAAAAACAAGGTTAAACTTGGGGTGTCAGTGAAAATCTAATAGACATCTAAGAATAGCCCAAAACTAGACTCGTCTTCAAATATAGAGATTAGAGAGACTTTATATGTTTAGTCATTCATTTCAGTTTATTTGATGACTACTCTAGTGTTGGCCTATTGTTAGACATCTATTAGATTATTACTGACTGCCCAAATTTAGTTTTGTTTTGGCCAAGATGACTATGTTTAGACATCTATTAGACATCTTTTAAAATCAAAATGCTTGCTGGGCTTACACTGTAAAAACACTACTACACAAATGGTTTGAGTTAACGTTTTTATAAATTTAAATGGGTATTCTGCATAGAGCAATTAGGTTGTCCCAAAAAAAAAACCTAAAGAATCGTGTTGTTTCAACTCTTTTTAAGTAAGTAGGGCAAACAGTCATTTTTTTGATTCTACTATGTCTAGCATCGGCATGGGACGATAACCGGTTTCAAGGTTTACCATGGTTTGGAAAAGTCAAGGTTTTAAAACCACCAAAGTTTTCTACTATAACGTTCCTAAGGTATATGTAAGTGTTTTTCACGACTATTTTATTTTGTTTTTCAGCAGAAAATGAACCTCTACATCAAAAGCTACTGGTTCAAAATATTTACAAATTTTTAAATATATTAAATATTTTTCCTAAAATAAAATATATTAGTTCAATGGGGTAGAAGTTGTCGTTTTTTTACCCAGATATATATATATATATATATATATATATATATATATATATATATATATATATATATATATATATATATATATATAAATGGAGCAGTAATCATAATACCATGAAACTGATTTTTTTTTTATTTTTATTCAAGGTTATCATACTGTCAGAATCTTATTAGCCCATGCCTAGTCTAGGCATAAAATATTTTTTTGCTTGTTCAAGCAACTTATTTAAAATGAGCTGAAACAACAAAATCCTGGCACAACTTGATTGTTTTATGTTCAATCCCCTGAAATTTGTAAAAACAGCTGAGTTTATTGATTTTGGTTGGGACAGCATAATAATAATAATTTATTCTTATATAGCGCCTTTAAAACTTAATTCTCAAAGTGCTTTACACTAAAAGATACAGATAAAAACAATTGAGAGCAACAGTAAAATTGAATCATTCAAGCTAAAACATTTAAAATAGCTAAAACATTAAAAATTGCTAAAACATTAAAATATCGAGAAACATTAAACAAACTAAGAATGCACACCACATGAATAGGCGAGTGTAAAGTACTGAGTTTTTAACAGTTTTCAAGGATGATTTAAACATTTAAAAGATTCAGCGTGTCTAATGTCATAGGCATTTTTACAGTATTGAATGGTCTAATAGTACACAGTAATTCCTTTATGGGTAGATATTTTTTATCTAATCAGAGAAGACTATTATCTTTACTGAAGCCTGACGTCAATCCTGTGCAAACATAGACTCTTGTGACACATACTTTCATATCAGACATATATGTGCACACACATTGCCTTTTACTGTTCTCACGAGTCTGCAGGCTGATATGTAATGGTTTCCAGTGCGGCGTCAGTTTGCGGCTAGCTGGCAGTTTACCTTTTAGCACTTGGATTCAGATCACATACTTTTTATTGCACGTGGATCATGAAACATTCCCACTGTGTTGGAATGTGCTTCTCACAGCGTCCTTTGACAGACGGCTCAAAGCGCATAAATATAATCCTGTTTAATGAAAAAAGGTGCGCTGATATATTAAAAAGCAAGTATAAACGTAACATCTCACGCTGCTTTTTCATTCCAAATCTCACTTTGTTCTCCCCATGCTTTCTTTCTATCCAGACCGATACCACAGCTCCAATCAGAACCTGATCACAAGGGTGCAAGAGTTAGCGTCTGCTAAAGAGGTGTGGTTCCGGGCGGCGGTGATAGCGGTTCCCATCGCGGGTGGGCTTATCCTGGTTCTGCTGATTATGCTGGCGTTGCGAATGCTCCGTAGCGAAAACAAGCGTCTCCAGGCACAGCGCCAGCAGATGCTTTCTCGCCTGCATTACAGCTTTCACGGACACCACCATGCCAAGAAAGGCCACGTGGCTAAGTTGGACTTGGAGTGTATGGTGCCGGTAACGGGACATGAGAACTGTTGTCTGGGCTGCGATAAGCTGCGGCAGACGGATTTGTGCACTGGAGGAGGAAGCGGGGGTGAGCGTCTCCTATCTCTGGTACACTGGGGGATGTACACGGGGCACGGAAAGCTGGAGTTCGTATGACTACTCAGAGCTTCTTTGTTAGGGCACAAAAGGGTAACTGTGTAGTTTGCTGTCGTAATGTTATTATTATCGGCGTGTTATTTTATTGTCTCCAACGAGAGCAAAGACATTTCAAGGACACAATTCATTGTGTTTTCTCAAAAAAAGAGCACTTTACTTGAATTAGAATGGCCGGTCTCTGTGGGGGGCTGTGGTGAATATGAAAAGGGTGGAGCTTATGGACTGCAAGCCCCACCTCCTTCCCTCTCTGGATCCTGGAATGACACTGAAGGATTCGTTAAGACGGTCTTATTTTGCACATTTGTATAAAACGGACTTGATGATTAAAGTTGTAAGGTCGCAGTCTGCGCCCTTTTTTGAAGAATTTTACACTGACACCAGGGTACAGATAAGGTTTGTTGTAGTCAAATTGTATGAATAAAAGATTCAATCTTGACTGTAACAAATTATGTGCGTCTGTTAATGATTTCATTAATTAAGTGTGATTTTTTTAGATCTGGCTGTGCGATAAGTGCAAAATAAACCTATCACGATTTATTAAACAATATTACGATTTCGATTTTAATCACAATTCTGACACACACAGACGTTTTACTGTAGCTATCTTTTCATCCAAAAATGCGAAGTAACTATGCGCGAAACTGGATTATTGCATGTAAGATATGCAAATAAAGCAGCGTTTCCATCCAACAAGTCAAAGACCACAAAATTGTCACTTCCTGATTAACTGGCACCAAATATCAACAGTAAAAACAGAATTTTTGGTAGGAGAAGCTGCGTGAATCTTTTCTTTATTTAATAAGTGCCTTGCGCCTTAGAAGGCAATCCTGACAAGTGGTGGCGTTTGAAGCGTTTGTTCGGTAAAAGTGTTTCCATCACTGTTTATGCACATTTTTTCTTACCGAATAAAAAGTTTATCCTACTCAGTTATGCGGATACATTTTTCATATGCATTTTCAAAATTTTTGTGCATTGATGGGCGTTTCCATCAATCTTTATTTATGCGCATTTCCAATATGGAAACGTACCTAGTATGACTCTGAAACCTATTTCCACAGAAAAACAATTAGATCTTTATCAAAGGCCTGTAACATGTCTCTAAAACAGACATAAGGCAAAAAAATGTAATAAATCAGTTAGTAAAGGTGTTACAAATAAATAAACTACAAACACATAAATAAACTACTGTGTGTGCGCGGCATCAATAGTAAGTCTTCAATTTTCTGCTTGACCACATATCAGAAGTAGTTGCGTGTACTGTAAGCATCCACAGAATTATTTTTGTCGTGCATAGATCATAAACATCTTGTGGCGTTGCCGGGAAGTAGGCTGTACACGTCGCAACTTTTGTGTACACAAATCAGTTATTTCCAATGGAGGTGTACGATGTGCTCGCATATTCTATGCGCACCTCGTTGAAAACATCTTTTCAGAATACTGCAAGCACACCGCAAGTATTCAGCTTCATACTTTGTATAGAATTTACATATTTAGGTAGACTAATTACCTCAGACTAACACAGAACACCCAATCACTGCAGTGCTTTTGAATTTTCTCCTTAAAACTTGTATCAGAACTGCAGTTTTGTCTGTTTGTCATCCGCCAACAACAAATGCGCCAACAACAAATGACAAAGGAACACGAGTGTAAAGCACGTTGAAAATGTTGAAGGAAGCAACGCGATTTCCTCACGCTTTTACATGTGATATGTGACTGACAGGTCTTACAAACAGTGGCGAATCTGGAGGTGGGGCCAGAGGGCCACGGGCCTCCATTTAAATGGCCCTATAGTGCCCCTCTCCTCTAAGAGATTGCTGATTTATATCAAAGCTCAAACTTAAAGATGCACTTTAATTTATATTGAACGTCGGATGTTATCTGTTACTTCAGCTATTTTTTTGTAAAAGTGCTTTCATCCCTGTAGATCGACTAACTTAATCATATGCGAGTACACTAAACATGTCAATCGTTGATCAGAGTTACAAGGTTTGTTTTCCGCGATTCTGCTCATAGCTGTCATATATGTGCTTTGTTAAATTACCATTTTGAGCTGTTATGACAACTATAAAGCTGCGCTTTATGGCAAAATCGAAAGTGAAAGCAAATAATTCAAGCAGTCCTAGCACCAATTGAATAATTTATCCCCCCCTTTGTAAACTGTGGCCCCACCTTTAAAAGTTCCCAGATCCGCCACTACTTCCAGATTACCTGGTTCTGTGATACATCAACCTTCCCCTGTCCAAAGTAATCCCACAACACAGATCTTAACTTTTTTTGTGGCACTAAGTCCTCCTGTGCTGAACTCATCACCCCTGTTTATGCAGGCGTTGTTCATTAAGCTGTTTCCTGTTCTCGCACTCTGTTTAGGCGTGCTGTGTTATAATTGGTTTAAGTAGCATATTGCGGTAAATCGACCTGTAAGTCCATTTAGAAACTGTGCAAGTTCAAATCACAATTTCAATTAATCGCACAGCCCTAGATCTGTGTGTGTGTGCACTGTTTTGGGTGGTTTGCGAGGACAAACATTCGTATAATGACATGGACATATGACCTTACAATCTTGATGTGCTTTATAAGGACATGCCTTGTGTCCTCATAATTCAAAATGCAGAAAAATTATAGTCAACGGTGTCTTTTGACACTGGGCTTATGTTAGGGGGAGGCCAAGGCAATATACAGTCGTCCCTCGTTATTCCACAACAGTCAAAATCCACAAAGTAGTCAGCTTTATTTTTTACAATTATTTAAAATGTTTTAAGGCTGTAAAACCCCTCTACACACTTTATAGACTTTGGGCAGACAGAAATTGTCATTTTCACACCTTAGGTCAAACATTCATAGAAAACTAATTCCAGTATATAAACATTTTGTTTTTAAGGTATAAAATGCATTACGTCTGTGAAGTGTCCTCATGAACCACCAAAACCATTTTGTGTGTGTGTGTGTTTGAGTGATGAAGGTCAGTCAGTAGCAGGGAAACTGACACAGGGGCCTTGTTCTGAAGTAGTGCCCTTCATCTGACTGCGTCATCTCTGAAACCTCTCCAAAAGGGACACATTACATCTCTCTGGCTCTCCTGGGATTAATACTGGAGGTAGAGCGAGTATTTATTTAGCAAGTGAGGGAATGTCGGTAAGCTGTGAGTTCAGAGTCCTTCGGCTGCACTCGCCGAACACAGTAATTCCCTTGTATGCTCTCTGGCTTGACTTTACAATCCACAAATCATAGGCAGATTTGAGAACTGTGAAACCTTTTTTTTTGACCTGCTTTGAAAATATGCTAGCAGCTTTACATGCTGAATGTCCTCAAGAGCTGCAGCAATCGCTTACATTCCTCTGTCATATAGTTCAGTGCAGTGGATTGGTTAAGCACAGGTTTCATGTAATAGATGTTTTCTTTTGTTGTTGTTGGTGGTGGTAAAATTGACATCTCATATGGCCCGTTTCCACTTAGTGAACAGTACGGTATGGTACAAGTCGGCATGGGTCCTCTGCCAAAGTTGTACCAATGGTATACGACAGAAAGTTTTAGTCGACGAATTACAGAAAAACTAAACACTGCATACATTTAGTCTTTATTTGTGTTCAAAAACAACATGGAATATATAACCCACAGTAATCTCTCATCTGTATCTTTAATCTTCACCAGCACATGTAACCTCTAAAAGTAATTCCGTCAGTCCGAGTTCATAATAGTCCAAAAGGTGATGATTATAGTTAAACATTAGTTTGTTCATGTTTTAAATTGCTGAAAAAATAATTTGCTCATTTGTTTTTTTTTTAAGCTTCTCCTTTGTTTTTTTTTTTTGAGTGTCACTCTCATATTTGTCTGTTTCTGAAAGGATCAGATGTCAGAAGCACTTTAATAGTCATGTGCATGTTATAATCAGCTCAAAAAGTTTGTTGTTTCAAATATAGATGCACACACAAGCTCACTTGAGAAAGTAAAACTTTTAGTGCTTTAGACGGCCTTGTAAACAATGGGGCACAGGGTAGATTTTGCTCTTCTTGGCTTTCTGGCTGTTCATCAAGATGAGGGCAAGGCTTAGTTAAACTCTAGTCGACCATGGCTCGTTATTATATATATATATATATCGTTATATATATATATATATATATATATATATATATATATATATATATATATATATATATATATTATGGTGTAATGTCTTTGCTGTGCATTTAAAAATGGTGCTTCCTTTGTTTTCATTTTCCTGGCTTATGCATGAGCTAGTGACATATCTCTGGCTAACACTTTATTTTGAGGGTCCATTTGAGTATTAGTAGACTGTCTGTTTAATATCTGTTGATACTGCTCCTTCAACAGACATTTAACTGACTATAAGAAACTTTGCAAGTACATGTCAACTTACACTAACCCCAAAGTTAGTTGCCATGTAGATGCAATGTGACTTAAATTTAACAGACTATCAAAATAAAGTATGACCTATCTCTGTAAAACAATAGCCTTTTGGTATTTTTTTGTCATATAGGTACCCTTTCGAAAGGGTACCCAAAAAGTGGTATGGTACAGTTTGCTTTTTTGGTACGTTTTGACAGTGAAAACGACCATTAAAGCATACTGTACTGTACTGTACCACTCACTGGAAACAAACCAATTATTAAAAATAATCAAATGATGTATTGGATATATTATAAAATCACTTTAAATCACAAAATGCTTCTGTGAATGGTAGAAAGGGAATAGGTTTATATACAGGGGATGCAAAAAAGATTGTAAAAAAATAACAAAATGCAGATAGTTTTTTCACTGGATCAGCTTACAAAATATTATATTACAAGCACATATTTTCAAGTGATACTTTTCACATAAAGACACGTTCATCAGGTTTGAAAGAAAACAATAGATGTAGTGTTTAAAATTAACAAACATGGACTTTCTGTGGAAGTATCAGTGGAACATGTGCAAAGCTAATGTGATTAATGGCGCCTGTGAGAACATTTGGTTTAAAGGGATTGCAAAATCATAGTATTGTTTAGGGCTGCACAGGAGCGGAGTTAGTGATTTGGGGGTCTTAAGCAATTCCAGCCATTGGGCAGAAAATCCTAATAAACACCCTTTGTATTTTTATGTTTGTTTGATTGTTTGTTTTGCTGACTTTTTCTTATATAACTCAGTCTATCCGATTTTACTGCTAAATTGCTTCATTATTGGGGGGTGGGGGACAAATTTGCACAGTCATATTAATTGTGATACACGTATTTATTAGACCCTCAACTTTACTAAATATGAGAGAAAGCGGTGTTATAAACAGTTGAAGACTGTATTTGGCCCCCCTTTGAATTTATCTTTCTTTTTTTAAATATTTCCCAAATGATGTTTAACAGAGCGAGGAAATTTTCACAGTTTGTCTGATAGTATTTTTTCTTCTGGGGAAAGTCTAATTTGTTTTATTTCGACTAGAATAAAAGTTGTTTT